TTTTTATTTTTTATTTTAGTGTGTGGCCAGTTCAGCCCACCAGGGGGCGGGGCTGGCTGGCATGTGGTGCTGGGGATTGAACCGCGGTCCCTGTGCTTTTACTTAGCTTGTTCTAAGTAGGTGCTTTAGACCACTGAGCCATCTCACCAGCCCCTTTATCACGTTTTTGTTAGATGAAACTCCCATCAACGATAACAGCTATACACAATTATCTTCAAGTGTAAAAAATACTTTTGGTTACGTATTAATAGGACATTGGTAAATTCACAATGCTGCTGGTTTATCAGAATCCTATGCCAGGAATGAGGCAAAACCCTCTCACTTCCTCTTGCACACACACCAGCAGTACAAGAAGACTGGAATTAGAGGTGAGAATGGCCGTGTACCTACCCGGACACAACCAAGAAAACCTGCATCTCCTTTATTGCTGTCTCCAAGGCGGAAGCATCCCTGGAGCCCAGAAGCTTCAGGCCGGCCCAGGGAACATAGAAGACTCGCGTCTCTCCCGCCTACGCACCGCAAAAGGCAAGGGCATAGAGGTATTTTCAGTTCTTCTGCTGAATACATGATCAAAATTGTGTAAGGATCACAAAATGTTTTCAGTACTCTCTAGAGTGTTGAAAATGGCTTTGAGAAAGACCGCGGAGGCTGAAAAGCGGACCCAACTCTCCATGTGATGCAGAAGGGGTTCTTTCTGATGTAGTTCCAACTGGAAATGCAGCCAAATGTACCTAGCGTGAACCCGCCCGCGGCACAGCGTGTCTGGTTCTCAGTGTTCTGGCTTTCAATTTCACAAGATAAGTAACTTCATAGGTTGCATCTTTGATCCACGGGAAGACCCAAAAATCAGATGAACTCTGCCATTCAGCCTTTTATGTTGGCAGTAGCTGCCCTTTGATAAAGTTGCTTAAATTTACTGCTCTGAGAGTGAGAGGTCATGGAGTAAAACATCAAGTTAGACGCAAAAGTCAGGCTTCTGAGAACAAAGGTTAAACAGACCTCGCCTGTACGAGAAAGGCTCAAGGTAGGAATTTTGGTTTTTCTAGCTCAGCCCATCCCAGGACCTTCATACTGAGCTGCAGCCCAGCAGTTTTTATTTTGAACAGTCTCTTCCCAAATCACCAAATTGTCCACTCTGGACTCGAACTTGGCCTCAACCTCCCTGAAAACCGCACCCTGGGCAGTCCCGCACTCCAGGACTGGCTCCTTACTTTCTTGATCAGAAAGTGAAAATAATTACAACGATTTTTTACATTTTTCAATCTTACGATTTTTTTTAGCTTTAGGTCTGGGGGGGAAATAAAGCCTAGCCTTTCATCTTTTCAGCGCACGCGGCGGGCAGTCCGCCTCTTCCCCGCAGGCTGCCCAGGTCTCGTTCGGACGAGCACAGTTTTCTCCGATCCACGAACCCGGAACAGAGGTCATCGGTAAATGCCACGCGGCCGCGCCTCGGCTGAGTCACGGAAATCCCCGGCCCGGCCTGCCAGGCCGCGGAGGCCGGGGAGGCGTGCGGTTATTACCGCTGGAGTTCCCCTAAGACCTAAAAGGAAAGCACCGCCGGGAGGCGGGGCGGCGGCCGCCGTGGGCGAGGCCGTTAAAGGCCGGGCGGGATCCGCCGCGGCGGACCGCCAGGCCCCGGTGCGCGGCAGAAGAGCCCGCCGGTGTCCGCGGTGCACGG